AAAAAAAAAAAAAAAAAAAAAAAAAAAAAAAAAAAAAAAAAAAAAAAAAAAAAAAAAAAAAAAAAAAAAAAAAAAAAAATAGAAAGAGACAGAGAGAAAAGAGAAGAAGACGCACGAGAGTCGTAGAGATGATCGCAGGTTTTTTTGAATCTCATCGTGAAACCATAGAAATACACACCGTCGTTCGTCTTACGTTAAATACACGTTACGTTAAAAAACGAACGGGGCACATCGTGTCGTCTACCGAAATCGAAATTCACGATCTCACACGCACGCGACTGGTAACTGCGACATCTACGGATTTTTTATTTTCTCCTTCGAACGAGACGCGTATGCACGTCGCGGGTAACAGACTTAATGAGAACGGAAACGAGAAACGTCAGGAGTGATCCATCGCGGTTGTTGATTTCTCTTTTTTCTAGGGAAGAACTGAAGAGAAAGTGACGATACAGGAAAGGAAGAGGAAGAAAAAGAAAAAGAAGAATGGAGAGGAAGAGAGACAAAGATGTGTTCGATGCTCCCATCTAATTACCGCTGGCGTTTGATGGTGGTACATTTATGATGCATTTTACGAGGACTCGCAGACGAACGGATGACTGGTTCTGTTCGCGAGTCACGATTATCCAGTCTCAACTGTACTATATTCTCCACCTCCTTGACGCCCTAGCCCTAGATATTCATATAATACATCTTTTTTCCTTCTTTTTTTCGTCTCCGTTTGATTTACTTCCTTTTTTTTTTTGTTATTATTACTATTTTCTTTTCCTTCGTATTTTAATTCGCCATGGACTAGGAGAGCACAGACTGAGAAAACGAATCAAAGCGTTGATACGTTGAATAATAATCGATTCACTTGAACCCAGCGATCGGCTCGCTGGCAGATTCTTACTTTTTAAGCTTAGTTTTTACGGTATGGTGAGCAGTACGAGTACCGTGTATCTAGTATACACACGTGTTCGTATCGCGGACGTGCCAGTACGAGGAAATTCGTTTGTTCCCTTCGATTCTTAGATCGCGATTACGCGAGCAACATACGCCCGTGTATTACGTACGATAAAAGAGACGGATTAATTAAGAAAGTGCACAGGATGTGAAACTGAGAAGAAGGCAGAATATATAAAATGATACGCAAGAGACAAGGATACGTTTGATTTCTCGTTCGTTAAAGAAAAGAAAAGAGATAGGAGGAAAGATCAAGATTAGACTTTGGTACGGTGTTTGTCGTTTGGAAGTGTGGATATCAGGATGACAAAGCGTATATAATAAAATCAATTGATGAAGATAGTGTTGGTCAGATCTTCGTGTCGTGTTAGTAAGAGAGAGAGAAAGAGAGATAGAGAGAGAGACAGAGACAGAGCACGAAGAAGAAGAAAAGATTTTAGAATTTCGACTGTGAGAAAGTTCTCATGACAGAACGTTCGAGTTTGTGATGGATGTTTTCATTCGAGCAGTTAAAAGCGACGCGAGAACAGCAGCCCAGACGTTTATATTTTTCTCACACACACGGTAGATAATATCCTACTATAACGGAGGATGCTTTCCGCGTCGCCTGGAATGGCGGAACGTATGTGAAAACGATGTGAAATACCGATGATCCAATACCGAAACATGCAATAGAATCGCTACGTGACGTACTCTATTTCTCTCCTTCCCGTTGTTCCGACGAATTTTTGAGGAGCCAGCCATGCTACACGCGTCAATCGCGTCGAGTAAAAGGAACGTATAGATGATTGTTAATCCTTGTTAGCGCGTAAGAACATACATCGCATATATATTTAATATATAGCGTGTAAACAGAATACATATAAATATATAAATATATGAATATAAATATAAATGCAAATAAGAGGTATATATATTAACAAAAAAGGGGAAAAAAACAGTAAAAAATAAATATATAGATATGATATGTTTTATACGCTGCATGTCATCCTTAGATGGAAATAACGTGATCATCATAACGTGTCGTTCAGAACCGGACGATTAATTTTTTTCTTCTTTTTTTTTTTTTTCTTTCTAGCGATTGAACGATGCACGAAAGGGAATCAGCAGGTGTTTTAGGATAGGTTTTTACGCAAAGGGACAAACGAACAATAACGCCACTTTATCAATCACTTGTGAAACGATTTCTGACCTCTCGGCAGGTCTTGTTGAAGGAGCTTGTGCCGTTGTTTCGTCCGCGAACTTCGTTGAAATTTAATCGCGATTAACCGCGAAACGAGAAAAACCCGCGATTGTTACGCACGACTGTCGCCTGGCGCCTCGTTCGATTGAGTTCGGCTCAAAATATGAAGTCAATCGCAGTGCCTGAACCGCCGCAAGAACTTGTAAATTATATAATCACGTAGTCGAAATTCCACGGATAATTGCTGCGTGGCGGAGGATGTAAAAGATTTAAAAAAAAACGTAATAATAATTAATAAAAACGGAACAAAGACTCTCATATGTGCCAGCCATTAAGAAGTGCTCTCTTTCTCTCTCTCTTTCTCTCTCTTTGGCTGAAATGAAACTCATCAAGCGCCCGACAGCCGTGCGTCCACGCGCAATTAGCGATGGACATTCGATATTTGAACGATTATATGATCGTATCCCGAATCTCTTTGAATATCCTTCGAATTCCAAAAAAAAAAAAAAGAACAAAAAAGATTATCGACGATCTTTGGAATACAAACTCGAGGAAATCGCGAAAAGTTGGAATATTTTCTTTTACTTGCTTAGCGTAGCGTACAATCGTGTAAATAGTCATAAACAATCGGCCAGAAACTTGCGATTTCGACCAATATTCGAAGTGATTCGAAAGATAGAAAATTTCTGAAAACGCATTGAAACGTCGAATATTTAAATGATTTTTTTTTTTTTTCTTTTTGCATTGTATGTGGATGAATTTGTATATCAATTTAAAATCGAGAAGAACCGCGAGATTTCAGGAATATTAAATACTGATTTTACTCTACATTGCCATGTGTCGCGATGCGATCGACATTTTTACAAGTTGAAACTTATTCTCGATACGATATGAGATTGTTAACTTGTTCGTTAACGGCGTCTAATCATTATCTAGTATATTTAATACGATTCAAAACTGTACGACTGATCCGATTCGATTGACGCATGAAACAGAAAGATATGAATGTCTGTCGCTATCATACGATTGTTAATATTTCTTCGACGTATTGAGAACCAGTTCGGAGTTCGTCCGTGGCGAAAGAAAAAAGGATATAATTATCGAGACGGTGTATAGAGTTTTTAATTTTCGTAAACGCTCGTGGATATTGTTATTTTTAATATAAGCGCGTGTTGGTGGTCGACGATCGAAATCGGCGGCTCGGGTGCACACCTCGCGATTTCATAATCGATTACGAACGATTCTGGCGAGATGAATGAACAGTCGAATATATAACAGAGCCGAGTCCCGTTACGTGGAAACATTACAAGACGCAAGAGCCTGTCGGAAATCCCGTTGATCGTGCATTATAAAAAAATCGCGATCGTTTTTGGAAAGTTGGAGTTTATTCGCGATTGAGATCGAAGATTATCGTAATAAAACGAACGAAGCATTGAGAAGTAGAAACAAAAGGGAACACGAACAAAAGGAACGGAAAAGAATTGTTCACCTATCGCAGTGTTGTACTTTATTGGTGTAATAACGCAACAATATGCCGCCGTAAAAAAGGAAAAAAGAAAGAGAAAAAAAAAAGAGATCGTGTCGTAACGAAGGTTTGAAAAGAGTGACGCGAACGAAAGAAAGGAACGAATACGAAAAAGGGAAGAGGAAAGTGAAAAAGGAGATAAAACGAAGCTTTTGAAGCCGAGTGATCGAGCAAGTGTTTGGCTGTGCTGTAGAATAGGAAAGAGACAGAGAGAGAACGTGAGATTCGAGAGAAAGAATGAGAGAAAGAGAGGGTGTGAACGAGAGAGATAAAGAATTTCAGATGTTAATCGAAGCCAGCGAAAGTATCAAATATACTATACATTCTGTATCCCGGTTCTACAAAATCCCTTATCGCAAGCCGAGTGCGTTATTGTTTTTCCTTTCGAAATTGACTTTTAACGGACAAGAAGAAAACGAAACAAAATCTCGATCGCGATCGAGATCCATTCGATTCACGATTGAAAAAAAAAAGAAGAAAATTTTAATAATAAAAACGTAATGTAATTTAATGGTCTACACGTGTCGGCCTACACGTGCCTCTCCTGAAATTACGACGATTTTCTACTTTTAATCGAGAGAACGTCGCGAAAAGGGATCGAAAAAGAAATGAAAAAAGAAGAGACAGTAAATGATACACGGGAATTTCTTTCGTGTACGAATACTGTAGCTGATTATATACATTGACATTTCGCTGCTTCGACAAGCTACAGTCTACCATGTATATATTTTCATTAATGTATGTATAATAAAAATATATTCGAGACAACGATCGGCTCTGTTTAGTGTGCGCTGTCTTTACATGGAGTATGTTAATGGTCGGAGAATCGATCGAAACTATTCCCCCTAACGGAGAATATTTTTGGCTTCTGAATAACATATGACGTATATATTATTGCAGTGACGTATTTCTTCTAGAAATAAATTTTAAATGAACAAACTTTGCCAGCTTTTGTTTGTGTTGTGTGAAACGTTACCTATTTACGTTCGTTCTGTAAATTATTCAATGAACTCTTAACATGCCTCAATTTTATATATATATATATTATATATATAAAATTCTTGAATAAATGTACCGTTAGACGCACGTGTTTATAATCAAAGAATGGCAGATAAATTGTAAAACGAGAAAAAAATGAGAGCGATTTCGAGTCGAACGCAAAGTCGAGGATTAGAAGGATAACTTGAATGAAATACGCGCGAATTTTTTATTGAATGGAGTCACACACGCCGCCTGTCACGTGACTTCATTCGCGTTGCTAGGCAACGTGGTCCATTCTACTAGTCGCACAGTCGCATGCTGCATGTCTCATGGATGCGAACCAATTCACCATTTAACCTACGTTTTACACTGTGAAGCAAAGTGTTTTTTTTTTATTTTTTTCGTGATAATCGTTCAAATTATTTTGTTTATTCGTAATCTGTGAACAAGTGCAATGAACGAACGTTCATTAAAAAAAAAGAATAAAGTCTATATCTATTAGGGACTGGAAAAGTTAAAGGAAGTTAACCTAGAACTAATTACTTCCTATGTTCGTATTTTAGTATATATCATTGTTATAAAATAACCGATATTTTACGTTTCTCAATGAAATAATCTGTGATATTGGGATAAAGGAAAGGAAATATTATTACGGTGTTTTGTACAATTTTCTTGTTATTAATTGATAAAAAGTAAACATAACCTGTTTATGATACCAAATAAACAATGAGTAAATACAGGAAGAAAGAATCCTCAAGCGAGGACAGTGACAGCGAGGAGGAAAGACGTAAAAAAGATATTAAAGAAAGAGACGAGTTTGCCAATCGACTGAAAGCAAAGGATGAAAGTAAAATACGAAAAGTGGCTATGCCGGCTGGTTCAGGAGCAGGTAAATTAAGTTCTTTACAATGCTGTATTTTAGAAACAGCTGGAAATTTAACTTTAATCTTTGGATATTACTTAAGTTCAATACTTAGTTTCATTCAAATGTTTATGTTTATTACTACCACTGTTAATGAAACTATTGAGTGTTAGTTATTAATACCGTATTAATGAAACAGCTGAAGCTGCCAAGAGGCTTAAAATTATGGAGACAGACATGCGAGAAAAATTGGTTCCCAAATTGCGTGTTGAATCTCGTAGAAAGTATTTGGAAAAACGCAAGGAAGATAAAGTGGCTGAATTGGAAGCTGACATAATCGACGATGAATATCTGTTTGAGGAAGAAATGTAATTTCTTATTAAAATGCATACAATATAAGAATTACACGGTTATACTCTGCTAATATCAAATGTTTTAAAATATCAGATTAACGGACCGCGAAAGGACAGAACGAGCGCATAAAAAGCAATTGCTTCAGTTGGCCAAAGAACATGAGAAGGCAAGGGAACTCGAAAGATTACAGCGTTACTATATGCCCTTGGAAAAGGGAAAACTTGCACCGGAATTGGAAGTACACGATAATGAACCGCCACAATCCGAGCAAAGCAAATGGGAATCCGATCAAATGTCTTCAGCTGTTTTCCGATTTGGTGCGAAAGATAGGAAAGGTACATAGTATTCGTCAATATGCGTTTTAAGTTTCATACGATATTTGTCTGGCTTTCTACTAATTTTTACTGATTTCAGCGCAACAGGACTATGATCTTTTGCTGGAAGATGAAGTGGAATTCGTCCAAGCGTTACGCATGCCTGGCAGCGAGAAAAACAAAAAACGCGAAGATAGCCCTCCGCCGCAAGTAAAAGCGTTACAAACTATACAGGAGATGAAAAAGAGTTTGCCGATCTATCCTTTTAGAAATGATCTCATTCAGGCTATCAAAGACCATCAGGTACTTGATAGAATTTGGCAAACTTAATCGAGATTGTTTTAAAACGAGCGTTGTAATCCGATTTAGGTGCTGATAATTGAGGGAGAAACCGGATCAGGAAAAACTACGCAAATTCCTCAATATTTGTACGAAGCTGGATTTGCAGAAAATAATAAAATTATTGGTTGCACACAGCCACGAAGAGTGGCTTCGATGGCTGTCGCTGCTAGGGTTGCTCACGAAATGGCTGTGAAATTAGGGAATGAAGTGGGTTACGCGATTCGTTTTGAAGATTGCACCTCTCATCGTACTCGTATCAAATACATGACCGATGGTACGCTGCACCGTGAATTTCTCAGCGAACCGGATTTGGCTTCTTACAGGTTAAAAAAAAGGATTCATTAGAATTTATCAATTCACCACGTTCAACGCGGTATTGATCTCCGATTACCATGATATAATAAATATATGAAAATATGTACAGCATGCAATACATAGAATATTTCGAACACAATTTCATTATAAATCAAATGAAAGTCGGTTCTGTGGTGAACGTGTCAAATTTAGATATCAACGCTTAGTTATAGTTACGCAATTCTTAATTATTAACTATTAACTAACTTATTTCTACCTACTTTATCGAAACGACATTATTTTCAGTGTTATGATCATTGACGAGGCACACGAGCGTACTTTGCATACAGACATCTTGTTCGGTTTGGTAAAGGATATAACAAGGTTTCGAACAGATCTCAAACTCTTAATTTCGTCCGCCACATTAGATGCCACGAAATTCAGCGAATTCTTCGATGATGCGCCGATATTTCGGATACCTGGCCGTCGGTTTCCTGTTGACATTTATTACACCAAAGCACCGGAAGCAGATTACATCGATGCCTGTGTAGTTTCTATTCTTCAAATACACGCTACTCAACCATCTGGCGATATACTGGTGTTCTTAACAGGTCTCTTAATCAATATCTTTATAATTATAAATATAATTGCTACTCGTGCCATAAAAATTAATCTGCCTAATTTATTGAAATTTTGAGGAATTTAAAAAATTCTTATTAGGTCAAGACGAGATCGAAACGTGCCAGGAAATGTTGCAAGAAAGAGTAAGGAGATTAGGATCGAAATTAAGGGAACTGTTAATTCTACCTATATACGCTAATCTTCCAAGCGATATGCAGGCAAAAATATTTCAACCTACTCCACCTGGAGCAAGAAAGGTACGAAAAATAGATTATTTATTTTTCCTTCGTTAAATATGTAACTTTCGTTGTCTACCTTTTTTACATTTGTAATTTGTTGTCTGTACAGGTAGTTCTTGCCACGAATATAGCGGAAACGTCATTAACGATAGACAATATAGTATACGTGATAGATCCAGGATTCGCGAAACAGAATAATTTTAACTCCCGAACAGGTATGGAAAGTTTAATGGTCGTTCCAATTAGCAAAGCCTCTGCGAATCAGAGAGCAGGCAGAGCTGGAAGAGTGGCTCCAGGCAAGTGTTTCCGATTGTACACGGCTTGGGCGTATCAGCATGAACTGGAAGACAATACTGTGCCTGAAATTCAGAGGATCAATCTCGGTATGATTCACATTATTACTACGCTGTTACAGATTTTTGCATGCAAAGTCTAAATACGTAAAATAAAATATTCTTTTTAATACAAAATCCACAATTGCGAAACATCGTTTATTTAATGAAGTTCTCAAATGATAGGGAACGCTGTGTTAACGCTCAAAGCTTTGGGAATAAACGATTTGGTCCATTTCGACTTCCTGGATCCTCCGCCACACGAAACTTTGGTTTTAGCCTTGGAACAATTGTACGCTTTAGGAGCTTTGAATCATCGTGGAGAATTAACGAAACTTGGACGAAGAATGGCCGAGTTCCCACTAGATCCCATGATGGCGAAAATGTTGCTAGCTAGCGAACAGTATCGCTGCTCGGAGGAAGTAGCCACAATAGCTGCCATGTTATCGGTGAACGGAGCTATATTCTACAGGCCTAAGGACAAGATTATCCACGCGGACACGGCACGAAAGAATTTCCACATACCTGGTGGTGATCATTTGACTTTGTTGAATGTATACAATCAGTGGAGGCAGAGTGACTTTAGTACTCATTGGTGCTACGAGAATTTCATTCAACATCGGTCGATGAAAAGAGCTAGAGACGTTAGAGAACAATTGGTTGGACTGATGCAGCGAGTCGAGATGGAGCTTGTGTCTGGAATCACAGAAACAATGAATATCAGGAAAGTGAGTAGAATCAAATGAACGTATATATTTAGTTGCTCTTTGCATTCTACAACATAGTGCCACATTAATAATGTTTAAATTAAATAACTATCTATTGCTATCATTATCCACAGTACAATCAAATCAGTATCAAAGAGTGATGACGATTAATTTAATTTCAGGCTATTACAGCTGGATATTTCTATCATGTTGCAAGACTATCAAAAGGGGGTCACTATAAAACTGCAAAACATAATCAAACAGTTTCGATTCATCCTAACAGCTCGTTATTTCAAGAGCTTCCGCGTTGGATTCTTTATCATGAATTAGTCTTCACCACAAAAGAATTTATGCGGCAAGTGAGTCATTAAACGCAATTATGAAACATTAAAAATTTTTTTGTTTCTAACCATTTCACAAAGTTTATGTCGTTTCTAATGATTCACATATAGACACACACACACATATATAACTTTATTTAATTCTGCAGGTAACAGAAATTGAGAGCAAGTGGCTTTTAGAAGTAGCTCCCCATTATTACAAACCAAAAGAATTGGAGGATTCTACCAATAAAAAGATGCCCAAAGTAGCAGGAAGATCGCGCCCAGATGGAACCAATTAATAGTAAATGTAATTAAACATTCATATGTAGATCTTATAATTTACATAAAAACGAACTTCAAGAACAATTGGTTTTTGCAACGCTATTTTTTAAATGAGACGTAGCTGGAATATCAAATATTACAATTAAGCAATTTGTACCTCTGTAGCCTATAACTTACCAATCCAAGAGCAATGTACAATAAATACATTTGTAATTAATAAATCATTTGAAAAAAGAAGCTATACTATTGTAAATGCATTTTATTTTAATAAAGAAAAAACGTAAAACAGAAATTGATTAATTTATTTACCTGTCACTATACGAGATAAGTAAACAACAGAAATGGAAATAATAGAAAATTATTAACACCAGAGCTTGAATCGGATCCGAAAATGACTAGGGTTTAAAAAATTGATATTGATTCGATCCTCGAAGCACCGATATTTTTAATAAGTCTTGTGAAGAACTGACAATGAGCGTTCACATCTTTAAGTAGAATAGGTCCATATGTGGTCAGTCATCCGCATGTAAAATAAGTCCGTATGTTGTTAGATATTCGTAAGTAGAATAAGTAAAATTGGTCCGTGCGTGGTGAGATATCTTTTAGTAGAATAGAATTTGGTATACGTTTTCTTTATCAAATGGCGTGATATTTTCTTAGAAAATATCATATCAATAAATATATGGCTACCGTAGCCAAGCTCAATGATGTTTGGATCTTTTTTAGCATTTGAATTTTTTGCACTTTTTGGCCCTTTAATTGCACTTACAATGAAACTGCAAACTAAGTTTACAACTAAAACTACAAACTAAACTTATAACTGTAGGAGTCCCAGCTGAGACCTCAATTTGTAGAAATTTGTTAAAGGACAGTTGTTTATTTGAAGTTAAATAAAAGAAAATTTGTTTAATGATGATGTTTAATGATAAAGTGAACGTTTTACGCTATTTTCTTAATTATCTCTCAACTCACTGTCTTTTCTCTGACCTCTCGACACTCACTGGCTTCTTCCTCATCTACACAAAATTCGTGATTCCTACACACATACACACAAACGCATCCATACCCTTAATATCTTAAACGCTAGGCCTGGAGAGCTAGTCATAAACAATCCCAAGTCTTAGGTCTAATTTTCTCTACAGTTTATGGTATATCACTTGGGACATCTGCAATCGTTGAGCACTGGAGAAAGTTCTGGACCTTTTCCCAGAATTTGCCCATCCTACATAACTAAATTCCTGCACATACTACACTACAAATACAATTTCAATAGTAAAAATAATAATTATTTTCTAGGTAGATCGACTTCTCGCAAATTGAAGGTTTCTTCACATAAACGGATCGATTTGTATATGTAAGCGACGTTACGTACGGATATAATGAATCATGAAAGAGTCGAGCTCGAAGATAAAAGGTTATCTGTAAGGCCTTATAAAAATATAACTTGACAAATGGCACTGTAGACACGGTAGACATTACGATAATGACATGGTATGTGCATACCAAGGTAGAGAAATATGGACAATATCTTGCTAACGGGAGAGACGATTTTCTATAGGTACCGTTCTTCAAAGATATCGCAGTTTATCCTACGGTGACTAGTGTTTTATAAAATTTCCCTCAGACTTCCGTGCACGCGAAAATAAAGTACCTTTATTTTTCTGATTGAAAAATAAATAAATAGCCAATTTTTATGGAATTTCTTCCTTTAAACGATAAAACAGTAACCGAGTTATTATTATTGTTTAATCAGATATAATTTCAAGTGATTCTTAAACAACACAATCCTACGTCCAATTTACCTTTTTTTCTTAATAATAATTTCAAATACTTATCTATCTTCGAATCAATTTCGTTCTCGTCGTTGGCGAAATTTAAAACCGCAAAACAATGCGAATGACGATCAATTTGTATATAGTATTATATCAAAGTGTATATAGTTAATTTTATACAATTTTCTCGCCATTCTTTAATTCCTACCTAATTACCTCTTCTCGCGGAAGGAATAAAATGTGTATTAAATGAAATGAAATTGACGTTACTATCGATTACGATAAACATTCTCAAACGTATTAAAGAGGAATTAATTAAATAACACTGTTACTATCTCTAATCTTTTCAACATCCTAAAGTCCAAATATTAACAATACTTAGATCTTCAATTACGCGATTAATCAGTGTTTGCCCGTGTTGTTCGATGGTCAATTATATTAATCTATTTGTGTACGTATTCTCTTGATAGAACATCCAACAACTTATCTCTTTTATTCGAGGTCCTTACTGAAACTCTCCTCGGGTAAAACATGAGCGTTCTGAGGCCAGCTTTCAACATATTAGTCGTTTGCGGATGCTGGATGCCATCGTCTTGTCGAACATCCCACGGAAAGCTGTTTTACACTCTGCACACGACGTTCGTGATTCTTTTGCTGTACAGCTTCTGCGTATCGCAACTTTTGAACGTGATACTGAACGTAAACACGGCGGACGAGTTGAGCGACAGCTTGTACATGTTCATCGCGTCTGTTCTCTCCTGCTGCAAGATCTTCGCGCTTCTGATTAACCGCAAGGCGATTGGAGTTCTTAGCAGGCAGCTGGAGAAGGAGCCGTGTAAACCACTAGACACGCAGGAGATAACAGTCCAAAAGAAATTCGACAGAAGCATCGGGTAAATGAATGGTACATTCCTACGTTCCTGAAAACATTGAGAGTGCCCGAATACGTTCGATGAAAAATCGTCAATCGCTTAAAGCAACTTTTGCGAAAAAGTCGTAAGAAAATTCAACTGGAAGCCTCTACTTTGTTGTGACCTATTCTGAGGTCGTTCTTTTCAGAGATGTTTTTACATTATGCAACGGATCGGAAAGTAAAGGTATTTCCTCTCTCGAAAATTATATAAATTCAAACTCTCTGGACACTGGAAAAAATTTTTTCGTGGCACAATTCGCCAAGATCTCTAGAGATTTTGCAACTTTCAGACTTTAGAATTTACTGTATGATTTTTGTTTCTTTCGCCATTTTGCTGAACTTTGAACATTAAGGTTCAAAGAGTTGACGAAATTTGAATCTTTTGAAATTTCGTCGACGCAAGCTTAATACTCGAGGTTAAAAATGAAAAAAATCGTAATTCATAATTAAATCCACCATTCTCTTGAAGACTAAAGTCTCTTCTTTCCAACAACTCCTTAAAATTCCTTGCTTAAAATTCTTTTTCACGAAATTATAAGTGTTTAAAGTTAGAAGTTATAAGTGTCGACAATTTTTCATCGAGTGCAGTAATACTTTCTGTACACATTTTGGATATGTAAGTCGATTGGTGAGACTTTACATTTGCTTTCTAGGTCGATCACGATTTACTACACGATTATGGTGATGCTCACAGTTACCTGTATGATATTATTCTCGTTTCTCACTGACTTCAGTAACCTCGAGCTCGCGTACAGAGCCTGGCTACCTTTCAACTATTCCGTGCCAAATTACTATTACATGGCGTACGCTCATCAGATCGTTTCTCTGATCGGCACGGCGCTTGTAAACGTGGCCTGTGACGTGCTGGTTTGCGGACTGTTCGTTCATGTTTGCAGTCAGCAGGAGATCCTGAAGCACAGAATAAAGGGGCTGACAAAACAATCGAGACCTGACATTGGAGGGATCGTGCGTTTTCACGATTATTTGTACAGGTTGGTCTCGTTTGTTCGAATGGCTCGATACGAATAGATGCGATAAACTCAAGTAAATAGAATAAAGTTGTCGTATACTATTATAGAAAAGTAAGTAAGTAGAAAAGTCGAATTTATTGATGCATTATGAAGAAGAGAAGCCGTGAAGCACCAAGGGAAAATATATGTTATTTCCTCTTCGATTATAATATGTCGGAATAAATTAGAAAGTTAATACATTTAGTAAACGAGGAATTTTACAATAATATTCTGTATAATAATGTACTTTTTTTATTTTCGAAAATTCTTTCAGAAAAAAGTAATGGACTATTCGATAAGTGGAAAAGTCTAACAATAATGTTTCAGAGATTGTAATAATAATACCTGTAAGTACGTTCTTCCATTATCCTATGGTTTAACTTAGAAAATTGTTCTGTTTTGCATACAGGTACACCTCGATCATACAGAAGAAGTTCAAGGAAATAATAGGTATTCAACTTTTCTCGAGTACTCTCGTGGTGTGCTTCATTCTGTACCAATTGTCGAACACGCCAATAAATTCCAAATACATGGAATTCATCCTATATTTGGCCTGCATGATGACGCAGGTTTTCTTTTACTGCTGGTATGGCAATCAGCTGAAATTAAAAGTAAATTCCATTCGTCCAAATTGCCTTTACAATTATTTCTTTTTATATTTGGGGATTATTTTAATTCTAAAACCGTATATGTACAAGAATAGAGCGTCGAGGTTGTGGATGCAATTTTTGAAATGGATTGGGTGTCGCTCGATAACGACGCTCGAAAGTGTTTGATTAACATAATGAGAAGGGGCATGAGTCCGATCGAACTAACCTGTGCCTTCGTATTTACGATGGACCTGAAAACTTTCGTGAGCGTTAGTAAATGAAATGAAACATAATCGTCACGCGAAAGTATTTGAATATTTACTGCAAGAACATTTTATAAATATGTTGTTATTATTATTATTATTTTAAAATTTCACTGAAATAAAAAATGACTCTTAATGATCGTACTCATGATTTTCGAACGGTAAATTATTCATAATAATAATAATAATAATAATAATAATAATAATTTTCGGAGTTAATCTTTAACTGCTCAACACGATCGCGATAATTTTCAAAACGTTTTAAAAGTATCTAAATTGATTACGAACTTTCGAATATTTTCGCGACAACATTATTATCGTTTATTTCCTGATAATATTCCGATATTCGATAACATTTCTTACAGATATTGAAGATGTCGTATTCGGCATACAATTTGCTTCAGAGGAAGAAGGAATCGTAAAACGAGTACAACGAAATTTAACTTTTGGCGAAAATTGATCAATCGAATTTGTCAAGCAAAAATTTATTAAAATTTGACTTACTTACTTCAACGAAATGAGTTGAAATACGAAATGAGTGCCTCGTGTTCTCCATATTCTCTTGTCTTCTTCCCCATCCAAAGTGAAAAAGCATCCAACTCCATTTCAAGAGCAATTTCCCTACTTCGCCACTCGTTAAATATTCATTTCAACTGACTTATGCATCAAACGGCATATCCTCGACTCGAAAATAAATAATTTTTCAAGAAATTCCTCCCAGAAATATTTCCCGTGTATCCACCGGGAAATACAGTAATGATACAGTTCACAGACCGGAAAGGGGAACATTTTATGAACGACAAAGTATCGCATGTGTACCCCGTGCTTATACATCATCGTGTGCGCTTAAATATATTATAGGACACAACGCATTTCATCGAGTTCCTCCATTCTAGTTCGTCAGCATGCTTCATCAATAATATCCAGCCTTCGATATCTGTAAAGAGAAGTATTTCCAAGCAAGTGTCAAGAACGAAAATTTGCATTTTCTTCTTCTTTTTCTTCGGGATATATTGTCATCGTTCTCAGAATAATCTTTTCATTTTTTTCTGAAAGTTTTCCAAATAAAGTTCGTCAGTTTGGGAGGACGATGAGCGAAACCGTCGAAGGCGAAGGACGATGATGTAAAAGTATATAAAAATATATAGAATATATGGAAGATACAAATTCTGACAGAGTTTAAAAAAAACTGAGTGATGCATCTGTTACGAGCGATATATCGTCTTCTGACAGTGTGTGCCTGCTGGCGACCACCGTTGCTGTCGCCGTTAAAAAACTTCGCCTACACCATCTATCATTGTTACATAATGCTGCTGGTGTATGGTGGCACATTTTTCCAATTCGTTGACTTGATATTCATCGTGGAGACTCAAGACGAGTTCTGTGACAACGTTTATCTAACCCTGGCATTTTTCATTTCGTGTCTCAAGATGTACAGCCTGTTGTCCAGCCGCGAGAGTATCGCCGCCATAGCGAATATGCTCGAGAGCGCGCCTTTTCAACCGGAGACGAAGGAAGAGACCGAGATTCGAGAAAAGTGTGATAAACAGACCAGGTAATATATAAAGTGGGAGGATCTCTAAAATTCATTGTTCAATTAAACTGATACGCCTGTTTCATTTTCTGTCTGATGGTACGATTTACGTGTATTTCAATGCGATAATATATCTAATAACTTGTGATCTGACATACTCTGAGATTTCAGTAAATGTCGAAAATTATCAAATATGTTGCAATAAGTAGACTGAAAACCTTGTACAAACCGTATACGATGACAAAATCACGAAGATTGTAACTGCAATATAGTCATTGTTTTCTTTTATATTTATATATATATATATATTTTTTTTTTTACACTATTCTGTCATCATTTCTTTATGAATCGCTACAGATCGAACGCGTTTTATTACGCACTTCTAATCGAATTGACAGTAATAATAATATCGGTGTTGACGTTGCCAATCGGCGGACTGCACAAAGATGAAAGTCACAAGCTACTGTTTCGAATGTGGTTGCCTATCAACTATACTTCGACAGCCAGGTACAGCTTCATTTACGCTCAACAAATTTTAAGCCTCGCCTTCAGCGCTCTGTTGCACGTCGCCTGTGACAGCCTCATATGGGCTCTGTTGATGTTCACCTGCAACCAGATCGAGATCTTCGGGCATCGTCTGAAACACATCAGACGAGACCAGAATGAAACAACGAGGCTGTGTATTCGTTACCATAATCTCATCTATCGGTACGGTATAATATTTGATCGTTCAATTTTCTTCCTTTTAGTTTGCAGTGCTTGCTTTTGGAAAGAGTGTAGAACAATCGAAATGATAATTGACGTGATAACAATGTCGCGAGCATCGAATTAATTAATTTTTATCTTTTATCCTCTAAAAATAAACCCTATCAACATTTCGAAATTGTTTCGATATTGACGATAAGCGAACAATATGTAGCGCGATTAAAACAGCAATTAGATTATTCTGTTTCTGATTAATGTAAAATAGATCTTTCGTTCGATTTCAATACATTTCTTTATCTGTTTAGCTCTTTGTGTAATAGACAAACTCGTCGTTTTTCAAATTTATTTTTGCACAAACTCGCAGATTATCCACGAACGCGATTGAAGAAGAGTCTAAGCAAAAAATTCATTTTGTCCACGAGTCTAGATTCGCCACGATGATAAACAAAGAGTTCAAGTCGGTAATTTTCGTTCAATTCGCAATAAGCACGCTGACGATATGCATCAATCTCTACATATTAACGGCAGCGAACATCTCGTTCGAGAGGATTTTGCAGTTGATCATGTACAGCAGCTGTATGTTAACGCAGATATACATTTTCTGCTGGTACGGCAACGAAGTTAAGCTGAAGGTACTCTTATCCGTGACGAATAACGGTGAATATTGCCTTCAGATACTTCAGATCTTCGTAATTCGTTTGTCTGCTTTTCGTTCAGAGCCTCGACATTTCCAACATGATCTTCGAACTCGACTGGCCACCGCTCAAAAACACCACGAAACACGACTTGTTGATGATTATGATGCGTGCAACGTCTCCAATAGAGGTGACCAGTGCTCATGTCGTGACGATGAATCTGCAATCATTCATGATTGTTAGTAAGGAAAAATTTATACTTGTTTGATACTAGAACTGGCAACTTTTTAATATATTACGATCATATATATTTATGTGCAATATACGCGAAAGATTTAGAAATGCAAAACTATGCAAAATATTAAAAAAAAAAATTCTCTATTAGGTGATACCTCTTTAATTTAAAGCACAACAATTTAATTTAATTTAAAGCATATATAAATGAAAATAAATTCACAACCTAACATTATAGTGATATCACTTTTACATTTAACGTTTATGCTATATTAATGATTACAATATTTATTAATATAATATTACGATTCAAACAATTGCAAAAATAAAAAGTTTGATATCAGTCACTGTCATAACGATGCAATCAGTATTTTGTACAATCGTAAGTCTTTCTGTCGCAGTTGTTGAAAACTTCTTACTCGGCGTACAACTTGCTTCAAAGTAGCAGAGACTAGCGAACGAGGCAACAGATTCTCCACCGTGCGTTCTGTTTTCACGACAATCAACGACAAGACGAATGGAAGATCAACTTCTTCGTGGAGGACGAGAGAAAGTAGAGTCTACGTTAAATAAAACAATAAATAATATATAAGAGTATTAGGTTGCACAACGGCAGCTTTTCCTCTCTATTGTTGGTACGGTGCCTCTTAAATATTTATATATCTCTTGGTAGTTCTATCCTACCAAGTTAATTTATATTTCAAACCGCCATCAATATAGCCGTCGACATCGGCAACGACTGATTGTCGTGAATTCACGACGTAAAAACAGGAAATAAAAGAGCAGGGTTAGAACGTAGAAGAATGTATCAACTATTGCAAAAATAATTGCGCGACTGCGTGCTCGAGATACTGCGTACATATCTATTTTATATCTGTTTTACAGATGAAATGCAAAGATACAGTTCTGACAATTAACTAGCTCGTTTGAGCAAACTCGATTGAGCGTTTTCGTGAACAATTAGTTGTTCTTAATATTTACGAGCGGCGATGCTCGTTGGCTGAATTTTTCGTCAATTTAATCAGTGGACATTTGTCCAAATTGTATTTTCATGAATTAAATCGGCAGAAACTTTGTTCATCAAACTTATCTATAGCTATATTTAAACCTTCCGGAAATATATGAAAATTCGCAATCTGTTGATTAATCAGTTTCACGCGCAATATCGCGATCAACTACGATTATGAAAATGTCTCGCGCCAATTTATAAATACACCAAGAATTACAAAGAAACAAGGCGTAGAAAAATTCAAAGATGCACCTTTTACGATGGTCGTTCAAGCTTCTTACCTTCATCGGTCTGCTATCGCCGTCCTCTTGGAAGTATTCGTGGAAGAGAATTTTGTACAGCGTCTACACGATCGTAGTGTTACTGTTGATCTTCAGTTTCGAGATTTTTCTGTTTCTGGATCTCGTTATTAACGTGGACAATCAGGATGACTTCAGTGAGAATTTGTACGTGACGCTGGTGTTCTTCTCCAGCTGTTGCAAGTCACTGATGTTGTTAATTTATCGCGGAGATATCGAAATTTTATTGGACGCTCTGCTTGAGGAACCTTTCGTGCCTCTGAACGAAGAAGAGGACAAGATTCGAATGAAATTCGAGGAACAAATCGAGTGAGTCGACATCAATAGATCTCAAATTATGTAAAAAGAAATTATTATTAACGAAATTCAATTACTCTAACGAAGAAAAAGAAATTATTATTAACGAAATTCAATTACTCTAACGATTTGTTGTCAATGTAAAATAATCGAGGAGATGTGCACGTTGTACGATATGCTTGTATGATTCATACAACGAAATTACACAGCCAATTAGCAATCCCTCAGGAATTTTCAATTGTACTTTTCAATTGTACAACGTCTTCCCTAATGTTGCAGCCTCAACACTAACAGTACAAATTAAATACCTATAATTAGATACGGCGTAACTAAAAGTTTTACTTACCTTAGTTAGCAAATAACAATGGCAATTGTCATGTTTGTCTGAATTTTCAGATGGAGCTCCAAAGCATACACGATTGTGTTAGACGTCTTCTTGGTATGGCTTTGGGCGGACGGGTATTTCGCATACAGACGTGGAAAATTGAAATTCCGTGTCTGGACACCTTACGATTACTCATCGCCGCTTTTCCTTCTTCTTAGCTTTATCCATCAAGTCCTAGCCACGATATTCAGCACGAACTTAAACGTCGTCTACGATTGTTTCTTCAGCGGTATAATGCTTCACATTTACAGCCAATTCGAGATCCTCCAATACCGTATGAAGAACATCACGACGGATAAAAATTACTCGGCGAAACTCTGCGCGTACCACCATCATCGTATATACCAGTCGGTTTTCCATATTATTCTATCGAACTTGTATTCGTTATAAGATCGTGAATGCTGAGGCACATACAAATTTTTAGAAAATTTTTATAAAAGTTCTCGACGAAACGATTTGGGAAAGTATTCGAAAATATTGGAATCTCTCGTGAATCGAAATGAAATCGCTAATTTTGTTTCTTCTTCGTATACAGTAGTGCCTCTTTCACTCAACAATTGCTTTTATTACAAAGTCATGCACTATCCTTATAGTGAGCTTACTTGCTAAGGGAAAAACAAATTGCAGATTCGCCACGATAGTGAACGACAATTTCAAAACCATCACGTCTATGCAGTTCCTGATAAGCACCGGAGCCATGTGCTTCAATCTCTATCGACTGTCACTGATGAAAATTAATCTGAAATTCCTGGAAACGGTCAGCTACACGTTGTGTCTGCTCATGCAGATATTCTATTACTGCTGGTACGGCAACGAAGTGAAACTGAAGGTTTGCTAGGTTCACTCCTTTAGATAACAGATCAAATTGCACGATCTCACGCGTGATATTGTCATTTCGCAGAGTTTGGAGATACCGAACGCGGTGCTGGAAAGTAACCTGTGGTCATTGAACGAGAACTCGAAGAAGATTCTTTTACTGATCACGAGACGCGCGTTGGAACCTATAGAATTCACTGGCTGTCACATCATCTCCATGAATCTCGAATCGTTCCTGATGGTCAGTGTCGAAGGCACGAGTGTTTTTGTAACACTCCTTGACAGTATAATAAAGTGGAGAAGAATATGGAAATGATTTAGCAAATAAATAATTTTCTGGTATCACTTGGTCAAACATTTTCAAATTAGATAAACAAATAGATACTTGCACTAATTAAAATTCGCAATTCAGCTTCTCCAAATCCTTCTCGACAGATTGTACTGTCAAAGGGTTGACACTGAAGAAAGATATTCTTGTGAAAACAGTTATTATCATTTTGTAACAGCTGCTGAGGACCGCCTACTCAGCGTATAATTTACTCAAACAAAGCAACGCAGGGTAGCAAAGCGGAGGCAATATCGAATAACAACCATTAAATTAAACGTCAAATATTCACATGAAATTCAGGAAGAGCGCTTTCTTTTTTACTTACACACAGCAATAAATCTTAGTGAGATACAATAGAAGTACGACGTTCCCCTTTTCATTCTTCTTCCTTTCTGCACGACAACAGAGCCATTTTCCCAATCATCGACCTTCCTCCTCGACGTTCGCTGAAACTTCAAAGTAGTTGAGCCTAATTTTAATAATAAATGCCTTGGCCAGAAATAGAATGATATACAAGTATTGTACCCTAAGTCAGATCGTTGAAACATTAACAAACGTAATGATATAGAACGTATTCCAATGGGGATAAGTGACTCCGGAAGAACATGCGTCCCCTCAAAAGGGTACAACTTGACAATATTCTGAGATAGCCAGTAACATTTGGATCACTTACAGTCCCACTCCTCGCATTCGTGTTTTTCTGCCGTTTCTGTTTTACCGTGGAAAGTAAATAGTTAATTTCTGTCGAAATTTCACTAGGCAATAAGAGTTTCTGACGATGTAAAATCGGGCTGAGCACACCGTGAATTTCAGCCGATTTTGAAAATGACCGTGCACACGTTACAATGTTCGCGTATACTTCTTTCGATTTGCGGCTGCTTGCCGCCGAGCTCGTGGACGTCGTCGTTCACTAAGTCCTTGTACAACATTTACACGTCGTTCGTGTGGCTTTTGATATTGTCCCTCGCGTCCGCTCAGATTCTGGACATAATCATCAACGTGGAGAATCAGGATCAATTCAGCGACAATTTCTACATCACTTTAGTGGTGTTTGTCAGCGGTTGCAAACTGAGCATTATGTTGAAGCATCGTCGAAGTATCTTATCCTTGATCGACAGTCTCGAAAACGAGCCATTCTCCACGACCAACGACGAGGAGATGAAAATTCGAAGCAAGTTTAACAAAATGAACGAGTGAGTATCTCGACTGACGATTATTTTTTTCAGTTTATACAAAAATTAATTTTTCAACGGCGAGCACCTAGACGTTAAAGATATTTTCGAGATTTTTGGGGAAATTACACGATTGAAAAATATTAATTTCTGAGTTCTAATATAATTTCCTTTAATACTGACAACTATTATTTCTCTTTTCTAATTAGTTTCAAGAATTGATATGTATAGCAGCAGATGAAAGAATTTTTGTAATTTAGTAATATCTGTATTAATATTTTTCTTAGGACGTACAATTTCCTCTTGTAATCCAATTTTGTAGAATTACAGCAATTTCTTTCTTATTTTCACTATGCAATCGTTGCTCAAATGATATACCGTGCTCGTTACTTTTTAATTTTTTAAAACTAAGCACAGCTTAAACGCTGTTGAAAATTAACATTCCCACAAAAAATTAATAAGTCAACAAGTTGAAGAATTATAATTAACATTCTTACAGGAGAATCGCGATTGGTTACACGATTTTAGTAGAGGTGGCCGCGATATCGATATTCGTGAGATCGTACTTCACGGATTTCAAGAAGAGAAAATTGACTTTCCGAGCTTGGTTACCCTACGATTATTCGGAACTGTTGCCATATGCGTTCAGTTACGCCTACGAAGTTACCACTTCGATGCTGTGCTCTTGCCAAAATGTCGCCTGTGACACTCTATTCGCTGGATTACTGATCCAAATTTACAGTCAGTTCGAGATACTCGGGAAACGTCTGGGAAATATTCAGAAAAACGAGAATCACTCGGCGAAGCAATGCGTCAAACATTATCAAAAGATATACAAGTTCGTCTAGAATTATTCTTCCAATCGATTGTGTAATAAATTCGTTTGCCTTTGATACGTTTACTCACGTTAGCTGCAATATAACAATAAGATAACAGATTACAATTCCATCGTAGAATTACCAATCAAAATGACTTTTCTACAAAAA